TATATAATAATAAATATATAATAATAAATATATATAATAATAAATATAATATATAATAATATACACTAATAAATAATAATGACAAATTAGGTCGTGCGATTGAACTGAAACACTTAATTAGGCGTTAATTAATTAGTCAACCCATTAATTGCAATTGTCTCAATTAACATTCACATCAATTATGCCGTCACTTAAAATGCTCTTTGCCGTGATTTATTTTATTATTTATTATTATTATATTATTTATTTTTATTATTATATTATTTATTGTTATTATATTATTTATTGTTATTATTATTATTGTTGTTACCATTATTAATAATATTATTTGGAATCATCAACAAATAGCAATCGACAAGTCAGTGAATATAGTTCAGGTCAGAGGTCAAAGGTCAACGGTGGAATGTTGCTGGTCTTTATAATATTGACCTGGATACCCCAAGTTACGCGGAGTGCCTCCTGTGGTACTTCGTCAATACCGTTTTGGTTCGAAATATTGCCCAGTGGGCAGCCTCGATTGGGGTGTGCTATACCGAGTTGTTACAGCAATGAATTTGACGGTAATATCGATAAATTGGATAGTCTTTTTGAGGTTTGCTTGTATTATTTATTATTATATTATTTATTATTACTTTTATTTATTATTATTGTTTAAAATATTTATTATTATTGTTCATTATTATTTAATACTATTAATTATTATTATTATTATTTTACTATATTCTACTAGGCTATTCCCGAGGGTAGAGATGGTTTCATTCGGGAAGACGACCTGAAGATGCAACGAAATATTTTCGTTGAATCGCCGCACCCGTTGGCTAAATGCGACACGCAGTTCCGGAGAGGGGCGTGCCCAAACGCGGAAATCTCGTGGATTGGTGGTTTTAGACTCACTACCAACGGCAGGTTCGCCTGACTTTTTGCCATTTCGTTTGGTGACGAAAGGCCCAAGCCCCGCCCACACGCATTCAAACCCAGTCCTAAGCCCCGCCCATATGGAGTCAAATATACCTTAAAGCTCCACATGTAGTCCTAAGTCCCGCCCATATGCGTCCAAAATAGTCATAAGCTCCGCCCACATGGTGTCAAGTATACCCCAAAACCCCGCCTACATACCGTCAAATACACTCACAAGCTCCGCCCACACTCCATCTGATGATGAAAGTAGCGAAAAAATTTGCAGCCTCGAAACGCAATGCTGTGAATACGAGGGTAGGCGATTGGCCAAGAAAATTGGCAAAATGACACTGAACAATAACGAGGCGTATTCGGGTGGTGCGGTGTTCAGTGACGGACGACAGGTCGCATTCGACCTGATCACTGACTTGAGACAACTGGTCAGTAGAGATGGATCGTGAGCGATTACTATTATTATTAATTATAATTATTATCATTATTATTATTATTAATTATTATTATTTATTATTATTTATTATTATTATTATTATTATTATTATTATTATTATTATTATTATAAATATTAATATTATTCAGAGCCTCCTACGAAATCATTGTCCATCGCATGAACTGCATTCCGGACCCTAGTGAAATTACCGATCCGGGTATTATTATTATTAATTATTATTATTAATTATTATTATAAATTATTATTATTAATTATTATTATTTATTATTATTATTATTATAAATATTAATACTATTCAGAGCCTCCTACGAAATCATTGTCCATCGCATGAACTGCATTCCGGACCCTAGTGAGATTACCAATCCGGGTATTATTATTTATTATTATTTATTATTATTATTTATTATTATTACTTATTATTATTATATTAATTATTATAATAACACCCACTTCAGTTGATAACAACGATAAAATGGGACTCGATCTACTAGTAGATAAGGCTGATATAAGTTCAAATCAACAACCTATCGAGGAATATAATGATTTGGACTATGATATTGAAGATTTTAATAATAATAATAATAATAATAATAACAATAATAAAAATAATAACAATAATAATAATAATAATAATAATAAAAACAATAATAATAATAACGACAATAATAATGATCAATACTATTATGACGATAATGACAAGGAGATTATGGAATATTTCAACACCGATAATAACAATAATAATAATAATAATAATAATAATAATAATATAAACAATAATAATATAAATAATAATATAAATAATAATAATAATAATAATAATATTGACAATAATAATATAAACAATAATAATATGTGGCCAATCAACGTCCCACCCAGTCCACTAAGCATGACAGAGGTTAGAAATTATTTTATTTTCATATTTATTATTTCCAACATTTCAAATTATTATTATAACAACATTGTATTAAGCTATCATAAGGGCTGTCGCGGTCGTTTCGCCAAATATGTGCGTGGGCGGCACTGTTGGGTCATTCCGCCAATTACGCGCGACTATTGGGCGGGACTTATTGGGCATTTTGCCAATCAATCGCAATAGTACTAGTAACAATGAGGTAGACAGAGAAAGAAAGAAAGACAAGGAAATAATTATTATAGGTGATTAGAAATGATTCATTCGATGTGAGACTCTCTTTTCAGAACCGCCCACTCGCCACCTCTCTACCAGTCCCCGCCCTCCCCCTTCCCAACCCGCTTCTTCTAGCCCCACCCCCTTTTGGCCTTCCTCCCCCGGCCCCACCGCCTCCTCCTGTTTGGCCAGGCCCTCCAAATTTCCGCCAAGAAATTATCCCTCTGGCCCCGCCCCCTCCTCCTCTA